ATACTTGACTTATAATCCGTTACGTCCCGTGCCTATAAGTATATGAGATAAAATAGGAAAAAGTAATTAAAAAATATCTATACTAACAAAATTATCTACCATATATATATACATATTGAAAATTCAACATAATTCATGTATCAAATTTTAATATAAATTTAGAAATTAGACTAAATAAACGAATGATACACATCAAACAATATGTGATGAGGAAAAACAAATCATTAGAAAAATAAAATAAATGGTACCTTTGGAACAGTCTCTTGGATGTAGACTACTGGAAGAGTCTTTTCCATGTGGTAATAGCCGTTCGCATATGGAGTCGATTGGCTTTGCGTCTGCTTGCATACGCTTCCGTCTGCTTGCATACGCTTCCATCGGCTTCCACACGCTTTCTCATATTCTTCGTTTTCGGTTGTGGACATTGCAGTTACTCACCACGGTTCTAACAATAACTTTTGATGTTTGGTGATTCTTGAGACTATAAAGAAGACTTATGTCTGATTGTCTATATTTATAGAAACTTTTGAAACATCTTTTACAAAATCCAATATATTCATTTTTGAATACGATTCTTATCTTTGAATATAGTTTTAAATAAAAAAGATTCCTTCATAATATGTAAGGGTGGTCTACGTATTCTCAACAATTCATTACAAATTGTTGCCAATCATCATATATGAAAAAAGTAAAAAAAAAAAATTATATATCAAAAGAGACAACACATACGTTTGTTTTAGAGAAAATGGCATAAAAAACCACTAAGGTGACACGAACTGACTCTTTAAACCTCGAAAATTTTTTACTAACGCTTTAAACCTTCAACTTGACATCATTAACAAAATGAACCACTAAAGTGGCTTCCGAATATGCACCGTCATAAAATTTTACGGAACTGTTCACATTCTGTTAAAATCTGATGACGTAACTTTAAAATATGTTTTTAATTAAAAAATAAGTTAAATTATTATTTATACCATCAATTAAAAAATCTTATGAAATGAAAAATGAAAAAGAAATAAACAATTGTTTTTCTAGTATTCCTTTTTATTAATTTTAATTGAAAAAACATAAAATCCTCCTTCTTTCTTCTCCGATGAAACAAAAGAGCCATCAGGCAAATCTTTGATTGGAAAAAACATTAACATGAAATAAGATCCTGATGCTCAGTTCTTGCGTGGTTGTGGCCATCCTCCGGAATCAAACATCAAGTTGATCCGAGACATGTGACGATCCCTGTTTGTCCGGCAAGGTCTCGAGGTTTTCCTCCCTAATCGAACGGTTATCTATCAGAGGCGAAATCAAATGTAGCGATTATTTCAGGTAGGCCATGAAGAAGGCCGAAGACAGTATCAAAGATAGTTGAGACAATCAGAGATTTTTAATTGATAGTATAAATAACTAGAATATGACTGCGCGAGTTTTGGTTTTAAAATTTTATTAGATTTAGAGATAAACAATTTGATTACCTAATAAATTATTATTTATGTTTGATAAAATCAATCAATTCTATGTAAATACAAAATAGTAATTGACTTGAAATATAATTAGTTGTTTCTCTTATCAGAATTGTATGAATATGAAAATAATCATTTTGATTTGCATGGTTACTATTTGAAAATAAATGTATTTGTCTAAAACTTTGTTAGATGTTAATAACCATTTGGTTTGTATACCATATATCTAAATAACCAAATATTTTTTTTTTATAATAAAATCATTATTTATTATTCATTCTTTTTGCATAGTATAACTATTTTTTAACTTTTTTAATTCTTTATATTTGTCTCTTGTAATTTTATATATAAAGATTAGATTTATTTTTTGATGTACTTCAGTTAGCTACAAAATATGTGTATTTAATCGACAAAAAGTATGTTGGGATACAGTAGCCCCTGATGAGGGTAAACTAATTTTCTTAACCATCGATTCTATTTTATATATAAATCAATAATTTACATATACTATATAAAAGAAAAGGCGGTTG